GTGGACTGATGATGCAGCCCTGGTTCTTCCATCGTAGAAAGTATAGTGCATTTACATTAAACCTTTATCTTGTAAGAAATTACATTAGGCTGCACTTAAGCATCTGATTTGTCACTATAATAATAACTCGCAGCAGCAATCACGTTTTTATCCTACAATATTCACTCGATACATTAAAGAATACGACATGTTTTAAAGTCATCAGAATGCAGACCAACAACTGTTTGACCATCTACATCACAGAAAAGTTGTGTATTTGCAGTATCTTTACCAAGGTAAGTGGTAAACGAAATTAACAGAGACTGTGTTGGCATTATGAGCGAACAACGAGTCATTCAGACTCTGGCAGGACAAAGATATCGGCAGTAGCACGAAGCTGTGGATATACAAGGCTAGCATTATGAGCATGTTTTTCTATGACCTGAGGACGGCAGCATTTAACAGTGTTGAGAGCTGAAAAGTGCAAACGACGGAAATGAAGATTTCAAGGTTAACATGGGGAGTGAAGTGGTACAATCTGGTGTCATATGCTGTCGTGAGGGACAGTTTAAAATATCGAACTAAAGTGACCGACTGGCTGCAAACTGTGTTTAAGGTTATGGGAAGATTGCCAACGAATGAACAATAGCCACCCTGCAAAGCGAGTTCTCAACACAGAACCTGATGGCAGGCGGCCACCAGGAAGACTGCTCGAAGTAACAAGACTGAACAAGCATATATTCGAGCAGGTGGAATGCTTGTACGACATTTGGCGAGTGCCTCAGTGCAATGGGATGAGAAGAATAAGAGAAAAAGAATGGTGGACACGAGAGCGAAATTTGCAAACAACATCGCACGACGGTTTGAACAGATCTCAGTGATGACAACTGAAGTTGAAACCGAGTGGCAGTTTTTTAAGAGAGGCCTACTCGAGGTTGCCACCGATTGCTGCGGATTTAAACGGGTTGGCCTGCCGCCTGGAGGTCAGGAACGAACTTCCTCGTGGACAAGAGAGGTTCATCTGGCTGTCAACGAGAAGAAGACGGCATGGAAGAGGTGGCTTGAAGCAAAGACCCAAGAATGCTCAACGACGCGGCAGCGAAAGCAGCTGCGAAAGCCAAAGATTTTTTCTGGAAGAAGTTCCATGAGGTGCTGGAGTCGATTTTCCAGACGGAAAACAAGGTGTTCTGGCAAACTATCTGCCGTGTTCGAGATAGAAAGAAGCGCGTCTAAGAGTTTTGAAAACAACTATAGTCATCCTGTTACAGTGCATGAGGACATTCTTAGAGGGTGGAAAAAGTACTTTGAGGAACTCCTTTATATCGGACACCCGCAGAACGACGTGTCTGCCTCTGCGACCAGAAATGAGACGCGTTCATGGAAAGTAATGTGAATGTAAGGGACAAGCTAGAGCTTGGTCTAGAACAAAACGAACGTTGATAACAACACCACGACAGTCCGTTTTCAAAACGGAGAAGGTACATTAAGGTAAGAAATGCATTCTACTACTTTATTTCTTCTAACTTGGCATATGGAAACGTCCTACTCAGATCGCCAACTCAGTGAGTGAGGAAAAGCTAAGGAGATAAACGTATGAGTGATGTCTGCAATGTTGCGACTATTGCTGATGACTACGATACTTGCCGTTTCTTGAGCGACCTCTTCTTCCACGTTATTATGTTCCAGTTCATCGTTCATGGCCGCTTCGTAACTTGTCATCGACGGGGACTTCTTCATGATCAGACGCGAAAGATTATGTCTGAGCTGGCTCGAGGTTTTGTTAAGATGTGTTTTGTTTCTTAGCAGGGTCCTGTATAAGAAGTTTCGTTCACTGGGGTTTGACGCAAGTCGTTCTTCCCACTCGCTGATGATCGTACCTGTGAATTGAAACTTTTCTGTAGTAATGAAAGTGCACTCATCATCGTATTCATCGCCACTATCATCATCGCCAACATCACAATGGTCAATTGTTCTTCTTAATATCACCACCACCATAACCGTTATGCGTACTTATTTCGTACTTATCAAGGAGTGGAACGAGTCAGCTTGGAGG